GCAGATAAACATAATCAAATACAAGATAAACATCTTATTTTAAATATAAAAAATCTAAAATATAATTAGGATAATCATTGAGTTTTAACAGAATACTTAATTATTATCTTTATAAAATGTTATATTATTWAACCAAAAATAAATTATTTCATTATTAAACTTAAATTAAATTATAATAAAAACATCATTGCTTTCTCAAAATCACATAAAGTCATATTATAACATCGACTGAAATAAAAAATAAAATGAAATATTAAAATCACGATGTAACTCGCTGCATTGCGCGAGTACGCTTCTAGTATATAAATATGAAGATATCATAAAATTTAAAAAAAAAATATTGATTTCATACGAAACTAATTATTTAAAATTTTTTCATTTTTTATGTATTTCTTTAATTCATTTTTTTATTTTTTGTTTGATAATATAATTTTTTATAAAAACAATAATTAAGTATTTTGTTAGAACTCAATTATTATCCTAATTATATTTTATATTTTCTATATTTAAGATGAGATGTTTATCCTCTATTTGATTATGTTTATCTGCGGTTAGTTACACGAATTCAAACATGAAGCTTTAACAAGTTGTATATACGTCATAATTTACTTATAATCTTAAATTTTAAGTAATATGCATCAATAAACAGTACTTCATGTATAAAAAAATAATTTTTAAAAGTTTTTATTAAATATTTTATAATGTAGTATAGATTAAATCATGAGAATATAGATCTCGTTAAAATCGACGTGTTATATTCAAAGCCTAAAGAGTAGCCAAAGATGCACATTAGTTGCGTGAGTTGCTATACAAAAGGCGGTAGCAAAATACCCATGACCGTCTTGCTTCATTGTTATATGAAACATCCCTAAACCGGGACTAGTTTGGGATAGACATTCCAATGAGGGACTAAAGTTGTCACATATTAGAAGTCCAAGTTGAAGGACCAAAATGTTATTAGTTGAAAGTTGGGGATCTAATTTGAAGTATGGAAAATTGAAAGAGTGGTGATGTCATGTCATGATGTGTGTTGTTATGCTAAAAGCACGAACGGTTTAGAGATGTTACAAATTACGTCTTACGATCAATGTAGAGAAAAAACAAAGTTTTAGCAAATTACAAACAATTATTAGAAAGAACAAACAAAGTAAAATGTGACGCTAATTAATTTTAGAGAAACCAGTTGTCACTTTTACTTATTCGATAAAACTTTTCGTCCTTATAATTAGACATGGAAATGGGTTCGATCTGACAGGGAACCCGATCCACCCGTCACGTGAGGACGGGGATCCCTGTTTGTCTCAAACAGGAGATGGGATGGGTATCTCACTCCCTTCCCACGCCGTTACGTATGAACTTATATATCATTTGTTTCAGCTAAATTGACAATTCATTATTTTATATTTACTTTAAAAACTAAAATTGATATTTTTTTTATGTTATCATGTAATATTTTTTATATCAAGTCAAAATACAATCATTCGATATGTTTTGGATATTACTCAATATGATTTTATATTACTTGATATGTTTTGGTACGTGTGATGTTAAGTTTTTTGGATTAAATTGAATTTCTTTTGGTTTTAGGTTATTAATTATTAAACGATCTTGTGATTTTTTCAATATTTATAATTTTTTTATTTTTTATTTATTGAAAATATGTGAGAATTAAACGTGTATGGTCTTTTACATATTTGATTTAAATAGCTTACATAAACAGGGGGGGAAAATCCTCATTTCCCGTTAGGGATGGAGCTGGGGATGAGAATTGAGGTCCCCAACCCATTCTCTTGCCTACTTATCATTGTATTTAGTGGATAAGATTCTCGGTATTTACCATGTTCATCTGGTATGGTAAATAACCTAATTTCCAATAAGATATATTTGGTATATGAGTTTGGTAATCAAATTGTGGAGTCATTATCGATTTCTCATTTTTGTGGATGGGGAGGCATTGATGTCATAGGGATGAGACCGGTACCCAAAAAAAATGGACAAAAAACGAGGATTGAATGCTGAACAGGATGTACAAGTTCAATTTCAGTATTGGGACAAGAAATTCAATGTTGGTACCACTTAGGACCGAAAATTTAAAACTAATAAATAAAATAATCAAAACCAAATCAAAAAGGTTCAAGAATCAAAAGTTTAACAATCACAAATGTTCAATGTATCAAAAACAATCCTGAGTTTTTTAATGACAAAACTGTGGGGGAGAGGGGTTGTTATATGTTATTTTTTGAATTCAAATGGAGAAGGTATGAATTTATTTAGGAATATATATGGTTTATTTTAGGAAAAAGAGATGATTAGTTAGAAGATAGAGATGAAATTGTAATAGTCAAAATGCCTCTTGAGTTACCCGGTTTGGTACCGTTTTTTTTTTCCAGTATAATTCTGGCACCGAAAACCAAAATTCACAGATTTTTAGGACCGAATACCGAACCAAATATGAGAATTCGATTCTAGTTCGGTTCGAAAAAACAACATGAAAAACTTATCTATAGATGCTCATACTAGGTATGGTAATGGGGCGGGGACTCCAATCCCCGTCCCCGATCCCCTATATTTGTCCCCGTCCTCATCCCTACCAGAGAATTTGATCGCATCCCATCCCCTTCCCCAACGGGAAACGGATACTTTTTTTTTCCTATTTGGGTAAGTTTTTTGTAAATCAAATTGTGAGACACTAGACATGTTTAAATCTCACATTTTTCTAGTAAACCTAAACCCGAAGGAATTTAATTGTATACAAAAAGTATATATCATCATAAAATGACTAATAGATCGAAAACCAAAAGAAATTAAATTTAATCTAAAAAAATTAATGTCACATGTATCAAAATATATTGAGTGATATCCAAAACCACATCTAGTAATATCTAAAATATATTGAAATATAAATTACCATTTATCGATTTAATAGAAATAAATAATATATAATATAATTTATTAATTAATATATATACGGGTACGGGACGGGGGCCGGGAGTCTGATACCGGTCCCCATCCCCATCTCTGGTTTGAGCCAAACGGAGATCCCCATCCGCGAGACCCGGTTTAACAAGGAATCCATGTCCCGACCGGAGCAAGTAGACCGGGTTCCCCGACAAATCGGGACCAATTCCTGTGCCTAACTCATACTTGTTTCTCATTTACAACCTCTTATATAAATGTTTAGAAAAAAATAATATTTCATAAAACATATTAAAATATTTTAATAAAATAATTAAATTTAAATATCTAAACTAAAAAACAAATTGCATTGTTTTGGAAATTTTTACGTTTAATTTTCTATTTGATTTTTTACTGGAAGATCTCACTGAAACTTGCAAATACTATTTAAATAACATAATTTTTTGTAGAATCATTTTTTGATTTTAGATATGTTTTTTTATTTTACTCTTTACAACAGTTTCTGTAATAAAATGGAGACAAACGAAATACATACATACATTATAAACAATTTATCATACCAGATGGTTGATAATTATATTTTACCATCTATTTTTTTATACAGATAATCTATTGCTCATTTCTCAGATTACGCATACTACAATATGTTGTGTAGTTACCAGACTAGCTAATAGAAAGGGAAAACAAAGTTTAGTATGTTTTTTAAGCAAAAACGAAGCAAAACGAGACAATGGTAAATTTTAGAAAAACCAACCCATTAAAAATATGATATTGTACTTTGAACTTAATTTTAACGAGGGTTTAGCGATACCCACAGTTGTTCTGTATAATGAAGAAAGCTGTATAATTTATAAAATACGATTATTTTTCTCAATGGATGTAGAAAGACATGTGGTATATGAAATTCCTTGTGTTTTGATATTGATCGCAAACAATCAGAACATTCTTTTGAAACTTTTTCACAATTGAAGTGTCAAAATGAAAAGACAAAAACTACATACTTGTTATTGCATGTTAAGGTATTTGCATATAAGATTTCACAGAATTGAACATGATATAACTGGACATGACATGACAAGAGTGTAGGACTGGAAAAAGTAAATGTTCGTCTGGTGTTTAGTACGACTAAAACTAGATAAGACAAAATTAAATAAGTTGCATCTATAAGTTATTTGATGATTTTATACATCACATATAGTAGTTATATATGACACAAATAAAATAATTTTATGAAATTATCATATACATAAATACAAACATATTTAATAGTGCCAAATTTGATTAAAAGTTTGATAACAATTGATGGTAGTTCGAAAAAACTCGGTTCGTATAAAATAAAAAACTATGTTTTATTTCGTTTTGAAGATCCTTATAAATTGGCGGACCCAAGATGACATTGTTGCAAAAGTACAAGGACTATATATGTAACTATCTAAAATATATAATCTCAAAAACCTAATTAAAGGAAAAGAGTTTCCCTGCCCTATTATCTGATTGCTTCGTCGTTCGAACATTCATCCTCCGTATAACTACGGATCCCTCGACAACCGCCTTGTTAGGTCATTCGGTGTCACAAATTGCAACCTTGGATCTTCTTTTTTGCTATTGAACCTTTGATTTTTGTGATTTTTCGGTTCTACACAGTTGTCGTAATCGTCTATCTGCTACACGACGCCTTCCAAGATATTCACCTGATTAGGGGTTTTGAAATCGAAGATATCCACCTAAATCGTGCGATCGGATTAAGCGTCTCCAGCGTAAGACTTGTGAGTTTGTGTTTTCTTTTTTATTGATTTGTAATAAATAATGAAGGATTTAGGGGTACGGATGTTTGCAAATCTTTGCAGGTGTTTTTTATGGGCAAAGTTTGATGTTGTTTTGTAGTGGAACAGGAATCTACCAAGGTGTTTGCAAGATACCCCATTGGCATGGATTATATAGCTCTGTTGATAGATACCGAATTATGTTTTCAATTTTTTTCTTTTCTTTGTTTTTCTTCTGTTGCCAATATCAGAAAGTGAAGTGTGGATCAAAGTCAAAACGAATGAGTAATGGAAGTAATCGTTTTTGAAGGAAAATTTGATTGTTGAGTTGAGATTGGGGTTAGGGCCGTAAACTGGAGACTGATATTGCTCATATTTTCCAAGTTAACCGTGTAGGTGATCTAATTTATTTGTGAAGTTTAAGGGATCGTTGGGATCCTTGGTAATTGCTGCGTATATGAAGCTTTCGGGTTTGAAATTAAGATTGTATGTGGTAGTGAAAAAGATCATCATGTTTAAGTTCATTATCAATGATAATCATATTTGTTGGTGTCATGCTTTGAGTATGATATGCCTGAAGTTGGATGAGTGGAAAACCATCCTTTAAGTTATTTGTAGGATGTGCATTTGATGAATAGTGCATTAAATGTGAGTCCAGTGGATGAGTTGGGATGAGGAAGGAGGGTTAGATGAGCTCAGAGTTGATGAAGTTATTGATCTTTGAGATTTCTTACCTAGTTGTTGTTAGTGTTATATGGGAAGCGTGCCATGACTCTTGTCTTTTAAGTATTTCTTGCAGTCAGGACTAGGTTAGATGGAGCAGTGTAAATATATCAAACTACTTATTCTTCCATTGTCAATGTGTTTTCCATTGGCATGGATACTATTGTATTTATCTTCTGATCAAAATTTGCTTTTCTCATTTGGAAGGTTAACCTCACTGGTCTTGTATTTAGAGACATAAACGAATAGATTTACGTAGTTTGAGCTGTGCAACTGTCAATTGTGCCTTTCGACTGTTTTATTGTCTTTGTTTATTACTCGGTTACTCCCACAATTCTATAACAGGTGTCATCCTTAACTAGGATCAGTTGGTCACTAAAAGCAAAAATTGATTCGCTTTTACTTTCTAATTACGCATTCAGGAAATTTCCAGACCATCAGTAAAAACAAATGACCCATTTATTCAGTTTTCATGGAGGGAAGTGCCCTCCAAGTAGCTTATGGTCACCCATCTTAAAAAGGGCGCTGTTATTTGTGAATACCCTAAATGAATGTAGGACACTGTTAGGAGTATGCCTACACGGTTAACTTGGAAAAGATGAGCAATATCAGGAAACGAGGGCCTACCTTTTGACAGGAGAAAGAGAAGTAATATCCTATATCAACATTTTATGGCCTATCTTTTGCTACACTTGTTACCTTCTAAGATGTCAAATTGAATCATTTAATTACTCAAATGGAAATTAATGCGATGTCATTTGACTAGTGACATTTGGGTATATAGATTGTTGGGGAAAATATGCCCTTCGAGTAGCTAATGGTGATCCATCTTTAAAAGGTGGCTGTTAGGCGTGAATGCCCTAAATGAATGTTGGATACCTGCTAGGAAAAGAGGGAGGAAACCCCCTCCTATGGCGGCAATTTCTCTTTGCCATGATTTTAGTTTTAATACCCTTTGTGCATTATAGGAAGCTGTCACATTTTTCATCCAAGTTTTTGGTGATTTCTATTTTCCTTCTCAACAAGGAATGTCTAAAGCTCACGCTTAAGTTTGACGTAAGGAGAAAGAGAAGTAATATTCTACATTAACATATTATGGTCTATCTTTTGCTCTACTTGTCACCCTTTGAGATGGTAAAGTGAATTATTTAATTTATTAAATGGCAATTGAATGTCATTAGACTAGTGACATTTGGGCACATAGATTGTTGAGGTGAGAACCTAGAAGCTTCTGATTTGTTTCAAGACGTGGCCATCGTACTAGCAGTTGGTTTATTGGAGTCTTCATCTGGTAGCAATGATTTTCTCTTTCTCGTGGAGGAGCGGGTGCTTGTTTCTTGAGATCTTAATGAAGACTGCTTCATAAAGTATCATGACTTGATTGCTTACTATCTGAAATGTTAATGATGCTTGTTTTTAGATGTTGCCATGGTTAAGTTCAGTCTACGATGTGTACCTTCTTCGACGATCTCATAACAGTACCACTAGAACTAGTATCTGAGCAGTGCACTAATGATTTCATTTCTTATTATTTCATTAACTGTCTCTTGTTTGACATTTTTGATGAATCCAGTTGAAGTTTGAGATTCTACTAAGTTCTTATCAGGTGTATGTTTAGTGCACATCAAGTAGAATATAAAATCTGACTGATGTCTGCTTTTGTGTATATTGTGCATGTATAGCAGAAGGTAGAATCTGGCTGATATGTTGGAATCTAACTGTGATCTTATGACTTCGGTTACTTGATACGTTAGGGTGATGCTGTTCGGAATTGTTTTTTATTTATACTGTTGGCATGCACTCAATTTTGTGCTCGTGTGATTCTTGTACTGAGGGTTATATGTAGTTGGAAATTATATCTGTAATCTTGCTGTGTAGATGTATAATCTCTCTTCAGACGGCAGATAAATTTGTAATTTATTTTCTTCTGGTTTCTGCTTCAAGAGCCTTAATTTCTGTATTATAAGAAATTGAAGAGAGATATTTCTGGGAAGAATTAGATTTTTGAAGAGTCCAGTAGAATGGAAGGCCAAGTCCTGAGGATTGTTTCACAGTTCACTGTAGCATGACTGTCTGTTTGTGCATCCATTACAGGAAAGGTTTATACAGTCGTCTTGATCCTGAAACTTGTAAGCGATCATCAAGAGCCTTGCAGGGGTAACATTGACGGGTCTTTGGAAATGGATCCTGGTCGCTATGGTCTTCAGCATGGATGGGAAAATAACAGCGTAATTGTGGTTTCCTTTTTAATCACATATATGGGATGATATACAAGATATTAGGGCTTTTGTGACTGTCATTTATTCCGGCATCTCATCCTTAAGCACTATGAGAGAAAGCCATGGGACAGTGAGGATATGGAATCGATTTGCGTTCTAGTTCCATGCTTATAACTTGCTGACACAGCTTATTGTCTTGAATCCACAGGCCCTGGAACGGTATGGTGCGGTCCATGAACCAAATTTTCGGTAAGTTCTACTTGATACTACTAGCAAAACTTTATGTCAAAAGTTTTGTTTAGAGTATAATTCTTGAATTCTTTTGAGTTTGTATTTTATGTGGTGCTTGGTGATGCAAAAAAAAGTTCAAATGTAAATTGGATGTTTGTTTCATTCAAGTGCACATATACGTGTTGATGAGAATTTAACATTTTGTTATTTGTAATACATATTAGTCATCTTTTTGTTATATCACCGTTTCTTTCTTCTTTTTGCATCTCCCTTGTGTTCAACTGGCAGGGCGGGTAGTTCATATGATGATAGGAGGTATCTAGATGAACGTTTTCCAAGAGATGACGTGTATCCAAGAAATGCCTTCCACCGGGATGTATTGGATAGGGATAACTATCCTCCTCCGCCGGCAGCAGTTGGAGTTTGGCCTCAAACAAGAAGACGGAGTTATGAGGATGAATATCCGCTTGATAGAGATTCGAGACGGCATGAGAAGCCTTATGTTGATCCATATCCTGAAATGGATACGGCTCGTGAAGGTGGCAAATATCGTGAGATTGATTCATATCAGGAATATAGTAAGCTACGGGATGGCTATCGCAGTGCTGAGCACTACGATGATCATGGATACGAGAGGCCTCAGAGGTATGGTGGACGGGATCGTGATGATTATGCATATGATGATTATGACTATAGGCCTCGTATTTCCCAGAGCAGGGAGGATAGCCGTGAGAGAGATTATGATTATGGAAGGCACAGTTATGATTCTGATTATGACAGAGGTAGTAGGAGGGAGGGTAGTTGGCGAAGGCGTGATTCCCGTGACCGAGAAAGGGAGAGGAAAGGCTTGAGTCGAGAAAGGGACCAAAGTCCATACAAAAGGCATGAGCGTTCCAGGTCTCGTGGACATGACGAGCGTGTTAGGTCTAGATCTCCTCGAAGTCGTAGCCATGGCCGGAGTCACCGAGAGGACAGTTATGATGACGACAGACATGACAGGACAGAGAGAAGAAGAGACCGTGATGAAAAACGTCAGCATGAGCATTATTCAGTGGTATGCATTATTGAGAGAAATTTTACATCTGAAAGCTGTTCTGTTTATTTGCCAAGTGCACGGGTTTTACTGGATGACTCTTGATTATCATTTTTGTAGGCCCCATCTGCTACTGTTGTTGTGAAGGGTCTGTCCCAAAAGACAACCGAAGAAGATCTGTACCAAATCCTTGTACTCTTCTTGCTCATCTATTCACAATATGTGCTATTTATTTTCTTAGTTTCTTATATCATTCTTTTATACATGCCTGATATGTGGCTTCTGTTCGCCTTATAATTAGGCTGAATGGGGACCTCTTCGCCATGTTCGTGTCATTAAGGAACGAAATTCTGGCATTTCTCGGGGATTTGCATTTATAGATTTTCCTTCCACGGTATTAGTTGTGGCATTTTCTTTTCAAAATTTTGGCACTTAAGTGTTGTGTATGGAACTCATTAACCTGTTGTTGCAAATCAGGGATCTGCACGTTCGATGATGGACAAACTCGGAGATGAGGGTCTTGTCGTGGATGGTAGGAAGCTATTCTTTGAGTACAGGTAAGTGCATCTGTGATTGGTAGTCTTATTTGATACCTGAGCTTATATGTAATAATATATCTATAAAAGTTTTTGTGCATGTAAAATGGATGTTTGCAGCATATGTTGTTTACTCTATATGTTTTGAAGCTTGACGCTTATCATTGAAAGTTGTGTATTCTGTAGACCTGGCATAGTAGCTGGAATTAAGTGTTGGTGCCTCCATGCTTTTTGTATTAATAGTGCACATTTTGCATGTATCTCATGTATTTTCGTTTTATTGTGTCTGGAAGCTTTACACACTTGTTTTATTCTAGTATTTTATGGTCATGGATCATCTGTAGCCTATGACTGATGCCAGTTTCATATTTGATTAGTTTATTGGAATAATGCAGTCAATATTGGATTATCTGTTTTTCACATGTGGTGTGTACATATATTTGTGTTGTTTGGATTTTAGAACATTTTGCATGATTGGCCCAGCTGGATGAACTCTACTCTGTCTCTGCTGTTTGGTACATAGTTACTTACCTACTGTTTGTGTTGCAGTAGTAAGCCAACTGGGGGGGCTGGTGGGCCTCCCTTTGGATCAGATGGTTCATCAAGGTCAGGGCATACGAACCACAAAAGTACAACAGTTCTCTCTGATTGGATGTGCACAATATGTGGCTGCATTAATTTTGCAAGGAGGACATCGTGCTTTCAGGTGGTCTTTTATACCTCAAAAACATGTTTTCACAAGTCAGTGTCTTTTCATTTTGTGGACCTCTCAGCTGACTCTTGGCTTTTGGTTGAAAGATTCAAGTTATAATCAAGCGTTTGGGATGATTAATATTATTTTTGTTCTTCTTTGCCTGTTTCAAATCAGTGTAATGAAGCTAGGACAGATGATGCTCCTCCAGCAGATATGGCATCATCAAATCCTACTCCACTTGGTAAGAAAGGAGAGACAGGTTAGTTTATCTACAGTTCAAACTAGCATACCTTTAGGCATGATAAAGCAGTTGTATTGAGCTGCTGGAATTTCAGGTCCCACCCATGTTTTGGTTGTGAGAGGATTGGATGAAAATGCTGATGAGGAAATGCTTCGCTATGAATTTTCTAAGCACGCTCCAATTAAGGTTCAAATCCTTGTTTTAAGTAATGCTGTTATCAGTAGTTCAGTTCAGAAGTTTTAGTAAATACTAATAATACATTTACAGGATCTTCGACTTGTCAGAGACAAATTTACTCATGTTTCAAGGGGATTTGCATTCGTACATTTTCATTCGGTAAGTTTATTTACGAGCAGCATAAGAAGCACCATTGATACCTGCTTGTGTTGAAGTTATTATTCTCTGTCATAGTTTTGCGCTTCTGTTTCTTCTAGGACAAACTATGGTACTAGTTTTATCCTCTTGTTCAACACTTTCATAGCTTTGCATGTGTGAGGAACTAACGACACCTAAATCCACACTTTTATTGTCTAAATGATTGTAATTATTTGCAAAAAGGCCAGTCAGGTCTCATTATAGGCTGCCTAGGTTTTAACCTTCTTTCTTTCTAAGCAAGAGCAAATTGATTTTAAGATTTCTGCTATCAGATAATTTACTCTCGATATACTTGCAGAATGGTGTGTGGTCTTTCACACTGTCTAGGCCTCACTAGTCCTGTCTACTATACCCCCATGCACAGAAAAAGCGATTTCAGGTTTAGAAGACATTGGTGTTGAGTTCAGACGTTAATTTTAATGTTCTGCGACCGTGATTTATTTGTTGGAATTGTTGTTCTTCCTTGTGCAATCTATTTTCTAGTAGAAAGGGCCACATGCATTTGATATTTTAGGTGGTTGCAGGCCATGAGGGAGTTGTGGAGATAATGCTTTGATTTACATCTGAATATTTCATCGAGATTCTTGTTTTGTCATTTTGGTTTATGTTGGCTAACTTCTCCTATCTTTACGCTTGTTTCTCATAAAAACTCCATCTGGTTGTTGCCTTTGTTGGCAAGGGAAAATAATAGCTGAACTTGTAGGTAGTGTGGAAGGCTTTTCATACTTTCTGTTCATTGGGATGTATGATGTTAGAGGTGGTATTTCTCTGTATAAGATTGTCTAGAAAACCGTTAGTCTATCTTCTAGGGTTGCTTGATACAGTCGATCACTATACCCCATTGAGCCAACCATGAATACTCTTCCTGTTATTGCTTATATCTAGTTAATCACCAAAGACATTTCTAATGAGAAAGCTTACATGCTCGAAAGCACTTGAAACAAATGATGTTCTCTTATCCTTTATATTTGGTAACTTTTAGTCTCAAGCATCTGACTTGGTGTTTGGTGTATTTTGGTATTTGATTACCTTATCTGGATGCATATCTGGTCTCTCAGGTTGACGACGCCACCAAAGCCCTCGAGGCAACAAATGGGACAACACTGGAGAAGAATGGCCAAATTTTGCGAGTTGCATATGCGAAAAGCATCCTTGGATCAGGATCGGGGGCATCCTCTTCTCACTCAAGCAGCCTTGCTGCTGCAGCAATCGAGGCTGCTGCATTTGCTCAGCAGGTGATGTTCTAATCTGCTTATTCATTTTACATGACTGCACTGATGAAGTGTATCTCATTCTTATGCAGCTAAGTTATTTCTGTGGTGGATGGCCTTCAACTTTTTGCGATGATGTATTCAGTTTTTTTACCAGAATATAATTTGATTTCTTTCTATATCTTCTGTGTTTCCTTACAAACATGCTTTCTTGGTGCACTGGTGGCTACTGGTGCTAGTTTGTTGTCATTTGACTACTTGCTTCCCAGAGATTTATATGTAAAATTGCATTGAAAATTTTAGTAATATACCTGGCATTCAATATTAAATTTTAATCGCTTATGGATTCATTAATTTATTCTTGTTCAATTAATAGGGGATGGTTAGGATAATTCAGTTTTCTACATATATTTTAGTATTAGTTGTTGAAATATGTTGAAATTTTGTGAGCATGGACTCTGAATTATTTGGGAACAAAAAGATCAATCATCAAGCTTCCAGGACTGTTTAAAAGTGGATCCGCGTGATTTTGTTGTAGTTTACAAATGCATGCACCTTAAATACTAATTGATTTTTATTAACATTGTTCGTCCTTTTTCTTGTAGTATGATGCCGTTGGATGGGCGCCAAAAGAGTATAATCCAGATGACAAACAATCTAACGGTAGGCAGGACCAGGGTGGAGAACCAAAGGATGGTTCAGCCCCGCAGTCTGGTTTTGTCTGGGACGAAGCATCTGGCTATTACTATGATGCTGCTTCTGGGTTTTATTATGACGGAAATACAGGTGCGTACAGCTGAGATTGGGGATGTTCCCCAGCTGCTTGTGAGCTAAACTTTCCCGTCTGATCATCTTATCACTTATGAGAGAGATCCTGATTGATGTAGATATGTGCTGTTTGTGACAAATTTTTGTGCTCAAATGTGTTGGGCTATTTGCTAAATGGATTTTTAACCTAGGGGAAGGGGTCAATCTTGTTGCTCTGATAAAAGTAAAGAACGTTTAGCAAGTGTGTGCGGCAACATTGTTCAAAAATTGGTGAATTTTGGTTGTTGATTCACACACAGACCTAAATCAGTCAATCGATCATTCTTTTCCTTGGCTGTAACCAAGGTAAAGGTTGGTCCGACTTAAAAAGTTGAAACACTAGGTGTATAATGCCATTTAAATATCAGACGGTTCAGAACTCTATGGAAACTACTCAGACTAAAACTACACACAAAGATGATATTTATTTCTTTTTAAAATGCATGTGTTTGAAGTGTATGGATCTTAATTAATTTGTTATTGATGTAGAAGTTGCACCGTTTTTTTGCTCGAATTTTGATTACAAGTTCGCAACCTTAATGGATTAGACCAACAGTATATATAGTTTTTGAATGAAATAATTGCTTTAATTCTAGCAAAATAATTATCATTCAAGCAAACTAAAAAGCAGATGTTACCTGAACGTCCAATGACAGTAGCAGATCATATTTTGTAGTTGTTTTGTGTTTGCTTTTGTGGCAAATGTGGTCAAGAGAAATAACTTAGAGAACTACAAATTTACAATTAGCGGCTATGGATAGATCAAAAGTTCTCCTAATGTCTTTACATACTTGTTTCCTTTTATCCCAATTCGAAAGGGCATAATGGTGAACATATATTGGTTTCCCATGTAGTTAGAAAATATGAGCATCTCTTCTACATGCACTGGAGCCAGCTATTTTGTTTGGTCTGTTTTCATTGCTGATGATTACAATGTTAACACCTTGCATGTTTAGATTGTGATGGTAATACCATACTTTATTTAATGTGTGTATTATGTTACTCATGTACAGGTCTGTATTATGATGGTAATAATGGAATTTGGTATTCTTACGACCACCAAAGTCAACAATATGTCCCATGTAATGATCAAAATGATAAAGCATCTGGAAAAGAGAATGAAGCCTCCAAGGCGCCTGATGGTTCTAATAGTAGAAAAGTAGTTATATCTGCACCAGCTGCTACAGTAACATCAAGTGAAAAGACTACTTCATTACCGGACGCTGTCCAGGCTGCCGCCGCGGCAGCAATAGCTGCAGAGAAGAAGGAGAAAGAGAAGATGAAGGAAATAAGACTTGCTTCAAAAAGTAGTATATTGGCTAGCAAGAAGAAAATGAGTAACGTACTGTCCATGTGGAAACAGAGGAGTCACGAGAATCAAGCACCACGAGTGGCTCTTGATGGCAATCAACCATCTGCCTTGGTAGAAGAAAAATCTAATCCTGTAGGACCATCAACAAAGGTCAAGTTTAAAAATGATGCAGTTATAACGAAAGACAACACGGCTCCCCCAGTTTCTGTGAACACATCTGTTCAGCCTGCTAGCTTAGATGCACCACAAGATATGCCGAGGCCTGGAGCTAATGTCTCTGGAGGGACTTTAAGAGGTGTAATAAGAGGATCGGGTAGAGGACTGGTGAAATCAGATACTACATATATGGGATCATCTGCAAATGTGGCTGTGGGTTCATCAATGACCACAGATGCGCACAATTCTGCGGTGCCTTTCAGGACAGATGCATCTGCTTTAGGTTCTTATGCACCACCACCAGCTACCGTGAGTGGTAAGAGACGGTTTTCTGAGTTGCCTGTACAGTCAGCTTCAGCCATTAAAGAGCAGCCTCATACCACCTATAGGGATCGAGCTGCCGAAAGGAGGAGTTTGTATGGTTCATCTTCTTTTGGGGATGATATATCTGATCTTGGGGTTGGGGATCCAAGTAAGCGTCTGAACTATTTGTGAATTGTTTCTGTGTTGCGTAACATATGTAGCTCACCTTCATAGTTTATATTGCACATGTTAATGCTTTAAGTATGGAAACGGGAGACATATAATGTTCCGTACACAGTCAATTGATCACATGTAGGTGTTTTCTGGAAAGAGACTATTTTCGATCTTGATAGTGATCCCTTTTCTTGAAAAGTAAAATAAAACTTGGCGACGTAGAAGGACTAAGAATCTTCATGGGCCATTGCTTTCTTCAAATATTATCATTCCTCTATTGACTTGTGCGGACATCCTTTGTTTTTTATAATTCCTGAACTTGTAAGATCGAGATTCGGCTTTAAAAAGGGGCGCAATGGATTCTATGCCTTTCCCCCCTGGTGTTGGAGGACGTGGAGCTGGAGAGGCTAATAGCAATGCCCAGAGCTACGAGGTAATTACAGCCGAGAAGGCGATTGATGAGACTAATGTTGGCAACCGGATGCTCCGCAACATGGGTTGGCAAGAAGGCTTGGTAATTCTTTTAACTCTTTCCTTTATTTTACGTTCCATATTTATATGTTTTCAGAAAGATGAACCATTTCCCTCCTCTTACTTGCAATGATGTCACTGTCTACTCATAGATCCCTGGGAGACCTGTGTTTTTGGTAAACAGTCGCCCGGGCCTGGTCACTACGACCCCCTCGTACTATCTCTTACCATTATTTCCATTTCACAACATTTAAGAAGAGATGATGTTCAAAATGATGAATGGTCTAAAGGAATGAAATGTCTTTCTTCTCCTTTAACAACGCTTAGAGCATCTCCAATAGATTCTCCAAAATGGAGATTTTGGAGTTCTTAACCCAATTTTGGCTAGATTCTCCGAAATGGAGAAAGTGGGAGAGAGAGGGATAAAAATCTTGAAATTGGAGAACTCTTCAAAATTTAATGTTAAAGAGATTTTATTTTATTATTCTCACCAATGAAGTTAAATGTATTATCGTTTTATATAGAGTTCATTCGAAAGTTTCTTGGGATATTAAATCTATTGACTATTTTAATAATATAACTTAGGTTGAAATACCCAAAATGGAGAAACTGTTGGAGATGAATGTAATTTTGTTTGGAGATTTTAAGTTTCGCTTCATTTTGGAGAAATTGTAGAAATCTGTTGGAAATGTTCTTAGTTGGTCGTCTCTTTTTTAGTCAGCATTATGTTAAACTGCAAATGTGCAATTTCTTGCTTGTTTATAAAATGCATAGGTTCATACAATATATTTTAGAAGTCATCATATGAAGGTCATATAGTTGTAATTGATCAAACTAGTCAGAAGCACAAAGTAGTTCCGTGTTACAGTTTCTGACTTTGAATCGGACGATTGTTGTTTCTTGTTCTGGTTTGGTGATTTGATGTACAGGGGTTGGGGAAGGATGGGAGCGGCATGGTGGAACCGGTGCAGGCGCAAGCGACAGAAAAGAGGGCGGGACTTGGGAGTCAACCAAAGAAGTTGGATCCGAGCCTTGAGGTGCAAGCCGGTGATAGCTATCGGACTCTGATTCAGAAGAAAGCGCTTGCCAGATTCCGAGAGATGTCGTAGGAGGAGGTTGGATGGTTTAGAGAGTGGTAAATGAGTAGGATTGGAAGTTTTAGGCTATTATTATGAGATATAATGCTTCCATTTTCTAATGTTGAAGAACAAGTGACAGAATCAAGATTTTACTAGTTCAAGTGTAGTGGTTTTGTGATTTTAGTCTCTTATTTGTTACTTTGTTTATGCGTTTTGGTGGATTGTTGATACTGAAAATGTTGAAATGAGGGGGATTTTTATTTCTATCCAAATATCAGTTGAGAGGGGAGGGGAGTTTCTGTATTTTCATATAAAAATTCAAATGTACTAGGAGGTCCCAGGTTCAAATCCAAGAAAAAACAAAAATCTCCTTGTGGCCATAAAGGTTCAAATGCTGTGACTTCGGGCTATCTGCAAAGCAGGTGGTCGACCTGTGATTAGTCGGCTCGCATAGCGGGTTGGAAATCCAGGTTAATAAAAAAAATCCCGTCAAATGTGGAACCATAGTTTGTGTTCTATTCTAATATTTAATACTGTTGGTCTGAGATGTTACAATTATGTAAACAAACATGATGAATCGGTATTTATGTAGAATTTATTTACAAACTTATCCATTTTCAGACGATATCTGTATAACAAATAAAATAAGTTAATAATGATTTCAAAATATCATTATAATTTAATGAGATGATAATTATCATAACATATATAGAATTCATTTAGATTATTTTTATAAAAAAGAGTTTTTAACATATATAAAAGAAAAAGAACCTGTATTTTAACTGATATATAACTTCATATATCATATAAATTGATAAGGTCGACATAACAAGAGGTCGAGGTAAGAGTAGGTCATAATTGACAACGACAAATCTTGGCATGTTGTCTTTAATTATTGAATTTATTTCTGAAAAGTATTCGATCTGAACCGTATGTTTGCTTTGCCATATCTTTAAAATATTCTTCAAAATATCATAAGTATACAAAGATGCAAACATCAAAGTATAGCTCGTAGTTTTCAACGTAAAATGTAATAGATAGAAAAAAAACGACAAACGTTGTTGCATTAAAACAAACCCAAAATTATATTTTCTTGATATGGTATCTCTCTTATAATCTTGAATCAGGATTTTGAGCTACTCTTAATCAAATCTTATCTCATAAGCAAACTGGTTTTTATATATTTTAAATTTATTTAATTCGTTCACATTTCCTTGACTAGGCATGACAATGGGGTGGGGCCAAGGCGGGTTTAGTAATCCTCAGCCTCGGCCTCGGTTTTTAGTAACAGCCCCCGGCCTCGGTCCCCAACGGAGACGGGATGTTAAAATATCCGTTAGTTTGATTTTATTGGGGATCCCCGGCCCCGGCCCCAACCCCAGTTTGAGTAACAGCCCCTGGCCCATGCCCCGGCTTGAGTCTATCGAGGATCCCCGGCCTCGGGACTCGTTTTAACGGGGAATCCCCGTCTATGTTCAGGTCGAGTACATTTTTGTACCTTTTACCTTCTTTATTCAACAATAATCGACGATTAATTAGGAGTCCTTTCAATCCATCACTTTCACCGGAGAACATTTGTATACACAAAAATCATCAATACACACCACACCATAAACTTGTTGCTATTCGAACCTCTCCTTTTTTTTAATCAATTCGAAATATTAAAAATGTAAAAAACAAAATATGATGTTGACATAAAATTTTGTAGAGAATTGGATTCAAATTAATAAAAAAGAAAAGGTGCATTAAAAAGGACGTATCTGGTATTATAAATACAGCAACAAAACCATCATGGTACTGTCATATAGTTCTTAATTACACACACACACACACATATATATATATATATATATATATATCATTTGTCAACATTATCATCTTCTTGAGCAACATATCTTGAATGCAGCAGCTGTTTATGAAAAATTCGATAAGATGATGAATGATTTGGGCAAGAAAACCGATGGGTTGCCGGAGAAGATGAAGGGATTTCCGGTGGTGCTATGCCGGAAAATCTGGAAAGTGGGTCAAGATGATCCGAGAAGGGTGATCCATGCTCTCAAAGTCGGGTTTTCTTTGACATTGGTGTCGTTGTTGTACTTAATGGAGCCATTATTCAAAGGGGTTGGACAGAATGCTATTTGGGCTGTCATGACCGTCGTCGTTGTGCTTGAATTCACTGCTGGTAACTT